CGCCAAAATGTTTTCAACTCTATGTTGTATTTGATCATCCAACTCTGACCGCATAGATCGCATTTCGGCCTTCAATTCTTCCTTGTCGGCCGTCGCATTTTCTTGGTGGGCGTCTAATTTTGTTAGGAAATCTTCTTGATGGGTTTTCATGTTGGCGTCCATTCTTGCCAGCATTTCCTCTTTGTCAGTTTTCCTATCGGCGTCTAATTTGGCCAGGAAGTCTTCTCTGTCTTTTTTCCGGTTGGCTTCCATTCTGTCTTCCATCCGCACTCGGTCGGCATCTGCTTTTACTTGGTTTGCCCCAATCTCTTTCAGCATTTCTTCCTTCTCCGCCTTCCTTCCTTCTCTTTCCTCCTAATTTCCTCCATCTCTTCCTTCTCTTTCCTCCTAATTTCCTCCATCTCTTCCTTCTCTTTCCTCCTCTCTTCCACCCTATCGGCTTTCTCTCTGGCCGCCATTTGCTCCTGAGCGAACAACAGACGTTCCATCATCTTTTCCATGTCCATGTTGTAGCAGTAAACCACTCGATGCATAATAATTCACTTATCTGTCACGTGTGTAAGTTCGTAACCATTCTGACACCAATGTAACGTGTTTCGTTACTGAATACGCCATAGAGATCGTTAATTGGTTTATTGAACAATCTACAAATATCGGCTACAATTAATTATCACAATGTTACGGGTTTCCACACCTTACAAACCCTGCAACAAAATCTTCACGTACTAATAACGCGGGAGCTATACAAATCTCCCTGAATTACACACTCCAGATATAACTGTACTACAGCACTCACTAAGTCTCGAAAGCACACAATAAGTCTTCCGCTCGCTGACTTCTTAGTTATCGCACACGCGTCTGTAACTCGAGAACTGCTGATAACACACTCGGCGACTGTCACAGTACAACTAACTGGTAGCTGCTGTGCAGTTCCCTTATATAGCCGCAGTGGTGCCTGTTGCGTGCCACGTCACAGTAGGAAGTTGATTACGGGTATGTAGTGTTGCGTGTTACGTCACCGTGGAGGGGGGGGGAGGGAGCGCTACGTTACCGCCACGCGCCTGTGGCCTGAGTTGCCACGTTGCTGCTGGGTAGGGAGGGGTTCTCCGTTGCGCAACATGTTACACTATATATACTCGTATATATATATATATATATATGCTTTTAAATAACTTGCAAAAGCTATGGCATAAAGCAAATCACATTTACTTCATGCTATAACATTTCCATTTTCCTGACTTTACAATTCCTTCGATTTAATGTTTCTCTGAGATGGTCCCTTCAAAACTGTCAAATCACAGTTTCACTGTGTTTCCGATTCAGACAAGCATTTGTCAGAAACACATTATATACAAAAAATCATACAGATATTCCACGTACCACCCACTCCTCCTGGGACTGGGGGCCATGAGAAGGGAAACAGATAACTTCTTCCTCTAATCAGTCCACCATTTCAGGACACTGTATGACAATATTAGTATTCAGATGAAAATACACTACAGTCATACACAATGAAAACAGTTACATGTGGTCAAAGCTGAAATGGCATAAAATTTTGCACACAGAGGACAAAATGAACCATCTTTCTTATATTTAATGGCATGCGCTAAATCTAAGAACTGTCACAAGAAATCTTAAATTGTATGAACTGGCATATTTTAAATTGCGAACTATATGAATGCTGAAGCACCATGTCATCAAAATAGTATATGGGGGTGTAGAGGTAAGCTCCAAGCATTCCTAGCCCCTGCAGTAAATGGAGATGAGAGGTCAGTTTTATGCTCCCACCACTTAACCCTTTTGCGCGGTCATTTAAATTCTGCTGCCGTCTCTCCGGCGGTAATATATTCAGCCGGCCATTTAAATTTTACTCGAAAATGATTTATTCATCGTTGTTCTTAAATTATATGAGACAGGAACATGAAACTTTCACTAAATTATCTTAAAAGGTGGTTTTATAACCTTACCTTATAATGTGAGCACCCGGTATCTCAGCAATGGAAGCAGTTGGTTTAGAATTTGAGCAGTGTATCGTACGCATTGAAGCATGAAACTTTCACTAAAATGATCTTAAAAGATGGTTTTATAACCTTGCCTTATAATATGAGCGCCCGGTATCTCGGCAATGGAAGCAGGTGGATTAGAATTTGAGCAGAGTATGGTACGCATTGAAGCATTCTTCTATACACAACGCTCTCACATTCATCACACCAATACTGCGTATCTCTCATTTGGCTCTTTTTTCCATAAACCAAACATCTTCTGTGCGGCTTTGCCTTCTTCCCCGTGGGGGGAATACAAGAGGAAATGTCTCTCCGTGAGTAGTATAGCTTGCCAGATTAGCTGCAGTAAATTAAACCTTTATGTTATCATAACAAGGGGTTGGTGCTTCTGCATTTCAGATTCCAAACATTTTGGCTGCCCCAGATGTCGTAGGGGTGACCACAGAATTCATGAAGTTATTCTAAGAACTGGCTGGTATGTAGTGAACGAAAGCAGAGCTTAGCTGGCTCAAAAAAATATTTATGGTCATCCCTCGAAACGACCACCAAGGTCAGTACGATAAAATGGAGTCAACTGGAGCGATAATACATGAAGGAATGAGTTCTTTTCCCTCCCCCACACACACCCGTATCGTCACAGGGGGTGACCACAGTGTTCTGCCTTAATTTGTGGCGTTTTTCTAAGAACTGGCTGCTATGTACTGTGCGAAATCAATCGATCTTGCAAGAATAAAATTTGGACATCCCTCTTCTAAGAATTCCAATTGAGTGTGTTAGTGTGGCCAGCTCAGGGCAATATGATATTATAAACACAGCGCATATCAGGTCTCTGCTGTTTATAACTTCATAGGAAAGAAAACACGCCATTCATAACAGTTTGAATGAGGAAACCGCTTCCAAGAGCAACACGATTTTGCTGCAAGACAGGCATATGTAACGATGACTTAACGCAGTTAAACTCGTGTCCCATTATATACAACTTCTGACAAGAGGCCAGCGAAAAATCTAACAATCTACAGCAAAACCATCAATTATTATGGGCGTTATAACATAGGTGTGCAGCTGGACGAAACATAGACGTCGAACCCCCGCAGACGATTTAAATACCTGACGAAACATACACGTCAAACCACGCTGAACGGTTAATACAAGGCAAAGAGTCCCTGGTAACAGTGGAGTGTGTAGGTTCCATAGCCAGTCTGGCCATGGTGGCAGAGAAAATGTTCCTGCCCTCCTGGGAATCAAACCTGGTCATCCAGTTCACTGCTACTGACTGAGATACCTCAAGATATTTCAAATTACATTTATGGAACATTTTCACCCAGAATTCCTGGGATTCTTTGGACTCTGTCCATCGTCTGGTATTCTAAAAGCTATAAAATACTGGTGACTGAGGTTAGCTCTTCCTAAGGGACCCAACAGAGTAGGTGTCTTCCCCCTTCATCTGAGGACAGAAACAGATACAGTTTCTGTGATGTTGCGTTTTTTAGTTTTTAGAATACCGGATGATGGACAAAGTCCAAAAACCCAGTAATTCTGAGTGTTATACACCACTGTCAGAACCTTTTACAATCTACATGGAATATTTTGTTGATCTGTAACACATTCTGAGTTTCTGCTTGATATTCATCATTCAAATAATGAATTTTGCGGCAAAATTGGAATTCACTTGTTTGCACCCACAGGGAGTAATACTTACCATTATTAAGTTTGTCCCAGCGCTGTTTGGCAATAGACAGTTCACTCTTCACAACTTCCTTATCTATGTCACAAGCAGCAACAAACGTTTCGCCCAGCATCCTGTGATTTTCGTATTCACCCGAATGCTTCCAGACTTCATTACGGAATGTTCCAAGTTCCTTCAGCTGTCGCTCAATATCCTTACGCTTGAAACTGGCAGGCTGCAATGTCTCTAGCTTATTTTCAGCTTGAGTCAGCCATGGCAAGAAGCTCTCTTGGGCTCGGTAGTATTTACGGCAATGTTCCTACAAACAATATACAAATTTTGTCAAAACCCGACAGCTATTTCAAATTTATATTTCATTATTTTATTCCTCTTCTGAACAAGGGGTGTCTTCTTTTATCACAGAGATATGTCTCACTGTTTAATGACCAGTAATCAAGTGATGTTCAGGACTGAATACAGGATAGACACTGAATACTTCCAGATTTTTGATTATGTGTCATTTTTAATTATCCAAGCAACTTGGACCTTCAATACCATGGACAATCAAGAGCTCACAGTATAGGGTGACCTCTAAACATCACAAGGTTCCACAATATGTAACATCATAAACTGCTCACTTCATTCATCCTGCTTAGGTCCAAACATTTCCCTCAGCACTCTGTTTTCATAGACATGTAGTGAGCATATATTTCACAACCCATACAAAGCCATAAGCTATAACCATTAAATAAAAAGTGAACTCTGTGAAATTGCTACGGTGTTATCTAAGATATTAACAAAAAATAATCTGAAAAGTTGCACATTTTTACAGAAAACTCATCATACATCACTTTCAGGACCTAAATATATGATAAATTTTGAAGTTCATACAGCGACTTGGACTGAAATTGTTGGAAATGAAATATGCTTATGGGGTAGCCTCTCAATACACAACCTCCATTCAGATTTAACAGAACTCAGCCAAAACTCATTCAAGAGAACAAGAAAAGCAGTTAAATAATAAGGATGGTTCAAAATTCTCTTTTATCTACTGAAAAGAGTTACTCCTCTGCCTAAGCACCACTACAAGAGAACACAATTGAATGGAATTCTGAGCATTCTTAACTTTCATATTTAATGGAGATGAGAGAATAGCTTCATGATCCAGCTGCTTTACCCTAGCACCAAATGGACAGAAGGCTGTGTGGATCTCTGAACCAATCTGGACATGATGATGGAGACAAATCCGTGTCCTTGCCACAGCTGAACCACAGTCATTCAACTAGCAGACTCAGCAATCTCAGGTCATTCTTGTAAACACAATTGGCTGAATTCTGCATACTCTTTTCTGCTGCATATGTACAGAAAGGTGAACAGTATTTTCTCACCATGCAGGTCTGTAGTCGAGTGTGCCTCTCAACAGTGTCTTTGCGCAATCTGTCCCACTGTTGTTGTATCTTGTCTAGGTCACGCTGCAGATTGCGGGTGTCACTACCGCCGTTACGGTGAGCTGACCGGGAAAGCATGTCATGACCCTTGTTAAGCAGCATGATCACTTCATGCTCCTTGCTCATCACATCTTTATAGATGGGCTAAAAAATAAAAGAGAAAAAAAAGGAAATTCAGAAAGTGTTAAAAGTCCTAAATCCAAAGTAATTTAAGATGTTGAGCTACTGAAGATACTCTAAAATAATACCATAACAACTGATTATGGTCATGCAGTCAAATGAGAGATGACATGAAAATTATGAATAATGATTTGTGAAAGATATTTGAGATGACGACTATAGCCTGCTACAATGTGCTATCTCAGAATTTGCAAGATAGGACTCAGGGAAATAATGAAAACTGTCAGAACATGAAGCAAAAATCTAACAACTACACCAAAACATTTGGTCAAAATTTGTTGGAACCATCTGCTGTAATTGTCAAAAGGGCTTATACCATTAATCCACAACAAGGTTTCTTTGATGATAACAGAAAATTTAAATCAAGAATTTTTTTCTGGTTTTAATTTCAAGATATGTCTCATATATGTCTTCTATTTTTAAAAAATATTGCCCCTGAATTAAGTCTAAAAGGAGTGTCTCCAACATGTTACTGTGCTTTATGATCATCAACATGAAAAAGACTACCTTACAATTATAACTTATTAAACAACCCAAATACAGTACGTTACCTCATGGTGGTCCAATTGCTGCTGCAGTACATCTCTGTGAGCAGACACCAGGAGCCGCTCTGACATGCCACCTAATTCATCCGATAGCCATCCCAGAGTTTTGGCACAGGATGCTTCAAACTGACGACCATCCCTTAAAAATGCAATAAAAAGGGTAGAATTATGGTATAAAAAGCAGGATGTTGTCACTGTAGCAAGAATTAAATAGTTTTCCTGTGGTCTACATTAACTTTTTCCGGCAAGTTTAATACTTCCAGTGGTACTCTGGTTTCAAACAAATGCACTGCAGACCAGTGTCATTGTTACATCCTAGGCAACATGCAATCATGTAGCAATATTGCACTCTTAGGAGTTCCACTATTTCCTGTATGAAGTCTTTATATCTTCCAAATTAAAATATACAGTGGGATTTGTCAGTTCTTCCAGAAATTTGAACTCTTTCAAGCTCAATATATATTAATTGTAATTCTTCAGATTTTTCCAGTATTCACAATGAGACACTGAGTAGGTTCCAGTCCCTAACATTTGTCGCACTTCAAATATTTCAGGACTATACTAAACACTGTATGATACAAATATTTCAGGACTATACTAAACACTGTATGATAAAGAGCTATTACAAAATCTCATAAAAGAATGGAAACTTTACGTGGTAGAGTCATTCATTTCGTGGACTGTGGTTTTATCGTATCATATTACAAGGTATTCACATACACTTAACACAGATCAACATCGGCCCTCAAAAGAGTTGCCGTTGGCTGCTATGCAAGTCTGGCAACGTTGATATAGCTGCCGAAAACACTGCTGAAACATATTGGCAGGAAATTCCCATATGGCGTCTCTTGTGGCAATGACGACCTTCCTTGGATGACTGAAATCTACGACCATGTAGCTTTGCTTTCAAGAGGTGAAAAAGAAAGAAATTGCATGGTGCAAGATCAGGTGAGTATGGAGGATGTGGAGGTCCAAGTTCCTCTTGGACAAGAACACAGCGATGTGCAGGGGTGTTGTCATGTAGCAACAGCCAATTCTTCCTATGCCAAACGTTTCACTAGGGGGTTTGCCTAGTTTCTGACAGAACTTGACGTCTGCCCGTTCTTCAAACTGCCACATTTTCAATTTCTGCCACTCGCCTGTAACTGCAGTTCACAACAGAGGCCGTAGTTCTGCTTACACTGTTTGCACACAACTGCCTCTTGCTGTAACGAGAGATGAACTAACAGGACATCATACTGTGCCTCAACCTATTCGCTGTAGTGAATTGCAACGACGTTTTGTAGCCAGTCCATGAAATTACTGACTTCAGTAGTATATGAACACTTGCATGCACTGCTAGCGGCCTCTGTAGTCTAGGGTTAACGTTCCCACCTCATGATTCAAGGTATGCGGGTTCAAACCCAGCGGAGGTTGTGGAATTTTTAAGGGTGGAAAAATTCAGGGAACAAGTCCTCCAGGAGGGACTTTAAGCCTTGGGTCCCGTGTCGTAGATTTATGGCACGTAAAAGATCCTCATGTCTCTAGGAGACCTCTGAGCAAAATTAGGCAAAAGTTTCCCGCCCAAGTAGTTTCAAATGCCTCTGGTAGCTGGGGAAGTATCAGGTACCACTGCCAGCCTCACTGGCTGAACGAGGCTGATAGTGAGCACCAGTATCAGAAGGGTATGGCGACTGGTAGAATATCAAAGGGGGACGTACAATAGACTATTAGTCACGGTGCATGGGGAAACCCACCCCTCTGATGATGATGATAATAATAATAATAATAATAATAATAATACATGCACTGCTATGTACATCTAGAGTGTAACTTGCACATAACTCTGTAAATATTCATCTCAGGAAATAATGTTTCAAAGAAAAGTTTAAGAAAAAAAGAAACATTCTATGCCTTGTTGTGTAACTCTTATGGATTCTGAAATTAATAAAAAGAATTTTTTGCTAAGCCTGTTTATAACTTTAGAACATTTGTATTAGAGGCCCTTGCACAAATTTGTCAAGATTTTCAAATCTGTCTGTCCCTCCGATCATCTGTCCATCTGTGGCAAAGTATCAGTGCCTAAACAAATGATGCCTTCTTCTTTCATATGGGAGATTTTCACTACAGGCTATTCATGTTTCCACCCATAGTGACCTAACACAGTCCAGTTTACCTAAGATAGTTATGGATCTTTTCATGTATACCATAACTGTTCATTAAATTTTATAAAGAGACCGCAAATCACATCCTTTTCATCTTACAGCATAGTTTCCTTCCGTATGAGTCAACTGATGAACAGTATCGAACCTCTTCTTTCTTCTTGAAATCTTTACTTTCAGTTTCTTGCCAGCTCTTTTTTCTCTTCCCAGTGTCTTTAGAATACATGGCTGAATCATCTTGTTGTGGATCATTCAACAGGTCCTTCTTCTTTAAAGTTTAATTCTGATGCCATTTTGGTGTCTTTGTCCAATCCAGCATATTTACATGGCCAAACCACTACACACTATACAGAATTCTGAATTCCAATTATTGCTCTAAATTTCATTTCTAATTTTCTCTCTTCTTGCCATTCTCTCAGTACTTCTCAAAAATGTCATATCCAATGCTCAATTTTCTTCTCTCTCTCTTTTCAAGGATCCACATTTTAGTGCCATACATTAATATCAGTTTAAAACATACTTAACATATTGTCATCTTGCACTGTTTTGGGTCATCTCTGTTCCATAATACTTCTTTTTTAATTTAACAAAATTTAGAACTGCTTTGTATTCGTCTACTGATAAATTTTTCTGAGTGAATTTCTACTTCCAAATAAGCTTAATATACTGTAAAAAACGTTGCTGGGAATTTTGTGTTGATGGTTCAAATAAATTATTTATATTTTTTACTTTGTACATTCTTCAAACAAATACATTAATGACATATGTGACTAACTTCACACCACTTAATGCAATAATTTGTTATTTCCCATTATACCTACTTTTCCCTGCTTTCTTCTCTCACTAGAAAATTTCAGTGTGGCACTGAGTGATTCTAGTTACCTCAAGAATCCTTCCATTTCAGCTTTACGGTGATCAAGCTTCTTCTGGAGAGTGTTGTACTGTCGGCCCACTGCTACCAACTTGGCTTGGATTTCTGCCCGAGAGGCTGGGTCACTCAGCACTTCACAAAGCTGTGCACCTGCTGCTTCAGCATCTGCTAGGAGTGGACGTTGACCTTCCAGCTGACGTTCCAAATTCTAAAGAAGAAAAATAAGATTTGCTTCAGTATTTGGGATAAAAGATGAAAGTAAAACTTTTAATTTGATTTGTTTCATTCTGGTCCATCACACTAACAATTACAAAGGCATTAGACGGTATTATTTTTGCCTTTGTAAAACTTTTACTGTACGATGGGGTACCCAAGCAGAGCTTTTGTAGTACTGCGTTTTGCCGCTATGAGCCCATAGAGCTAACATTCCTGAGTCGATAAGCCGACTACCGTTGCTTCAGAAGGTAAGGACTAGTTTCAGCAGAGTTTATAGTGACAACTGTTTTGTGTGATCGTCGCTTTTGCAATGGCTGAATTTCGTGAACAGCGTGCAGCGGTGAAATTCTGCTTTTTGCTTGGGAAAAGTGGAACAGAAACTCTTGAAATGTTAAAAACGGCGACGATGCTATGTGGAAAACTCAAGTGTTTGAGTGGTTTTCCCGTTTCAAAAATGGTGAAATGTCAATTGATGAAAAATCTCGTTCTGGTTGTCCTTCCACGGCCCAAACACATGAAAATGTTGAAAAAATTCGTGAAATCATCAAGGAAGATCGACGACTGACCATTGAAGAAATTGTGGAGCTGTCGGGAGTGACTTGGAGCTCAGTTCAGCGAATTTTGACAGAAGATTTGGGAATGAAAAGGGTGGCTGCGAAATTCGTGCCACGACTGCTGACTGCTGAACAAAAACAAGGTCGCGTGGAAGCATGCTGTGCTTTGAAAGAAGAGTCCCGAAATGATCAAAACTTTTTTTTTTGTTTCCTTGAATGAAAAGAGACATTAAAGGAAAGCGTTTTGCTGATGTTGTTGAGGTGAAGGAAAAAACGACGGAGGCACTGTCAAGCATCTCAAAAGATGAATTTAGACAATGTTTTGAAAAATGGAATAAAAGACTAGACAAGTGTATTAGTGTAAGTGGAGAGTACTTTGAAGGGGATTGAAGGTTTGTGCTTAAAATTTGAATAAATAAGTTTAAAAAAAAATAAGTTCGGTTTCTTTTGGGTACCCCCTCGTATTAGACTAAACAAAAGCAAGCAACTATATTCTTCAGAGTGGTATCATGAAGACATGCTTTTCATGCATGATGGCAGTGTACCATCTTGGCATATGTAATTTCATATTGTGTGTCAAGGAAACTCCAGCAGACACATGCAGACAGCAAATACTTAATGAGATAGGATGAGAAGTATAATAAGGCTCTTTAGTACAGTAGTGATTGCGAATGAAGGGAACTCAAACACAACTAACCCCATGGAACTAAGTCTTTCCAGGGATTGCAACAATCACTCAGAAATTCAAGATTTTCCCAGCATATTACAGAATCTGAAGGTTCATTACTATGATTGCAGGAGGCCACTATTGGTCCCTATCCTGAGCCAGATGAATCCAGCCTACATCCTCAAACCTTATTTTTTTCTAGATAAATCGTAAGTCCTTCCTAGTTATCTCTTTCCTTCTTGCTTTCCTATGAAACTGTACTTTCTTCTCTTCCCTTCTCTCCTCTCCTCTCCTCTCCCAATCATGCTATATGCCTTTCCTATCTCATCCTCCTCAATTTGATCATTCTAATAATATTTGGCAAGCAGTACAAATTATGAAGCGCCTCATTATACAATTTTTTCAAGCCTTCTATTATTTCATCTATCTTAGGCCAAAATATTCTCATCAGCATCCTGTTCTCCAACACCCTCAGTCTATGTCCTTCTTCAATGTGAGAGATAAAGTTTCAAAACTACAGGAGAAATTACATTCTTTAAAGGTTAATATTTTTTGGACACCTGGTAAGGGAACAAAAGATTCTAATCTGAATGGTAGCAAGCATTACCCTAATTTAGCGTGTTTTTAATATCTGCATGAATCAAATTTTGACCTGCTGGTGTCATTCCCAAATACTTTACCTATGCCATGTTTTCAAAGGATTCATTAGCTCTTGTTCGGTAATGATCTTGCTCTGTATTCTGGTGACGAGACACCAACATATACCTTGTTTTCCGTGTGCTCACTTCTAGACCATCCTCTTTACTAGCACTGATTAAGGCTCCTGTGTTTTTCTTTATGACAATGATGTTATCTCCCAACAGATTTATATCATCAGACTAGACCAGAAGCTGATATGTCCCATTCAATTCCAAAACCTACCTGGTTTTCTAGGACCTTCCTAATAGTGCATCCTAAAGCTGAAAATAAATGGCAATAAAGCCTCTCCAGACCATTCTAAATAGGAAACATATCAGACAAATGAAAAGATCTGTCTTCTAGGATATAATGCCAGCTAGTCAACTGAAAGTCAACCACATTTTGGAGGACAGTGTAACCTTTTTCAAGGTAGAAGAACAAGACAAACAAGAAACCAACAGAACACTGCTTGCTACCCAATTCACACTGGTTTCTTGCCCTTCCCATTCTTATTCTTCGACCCTGAAGATGGAGGAAACATGCTCCTATGAAACATCGGTTGACTTTCAGTGGACTACACCATGAGAATCTAAATTCTTCGTTGATGACTCTTTTATTATTTAATACATATATACACTTGTTCTACAAGCCATCTCCTGAATCTGAAATTCATGCATGAGCCTTGTCAAACACTCACTTCTATCTTCCTCAGCTGTTCTTCTGGATCCTTATCCAGCGGCAGATCATCCAGTTGGTCTGATATTCCTTGCAGTGCATCCCTAAGCCTATTGAGTCCTGCATCAAACTCCCGGCTTGTATCAGCAGCAGCTCCCAAGCTATCTGCTCGCTCTTCTAGGCGACTGAGTAGGTCAGCCCATCGTTGCAATATGGATGTAAGGCGTGCAGACAAGCGCTGAGCATCAGGTGTGTTAGGATCTAGACAAGCAAGAACAGACTCTCCCACTTGTGAGAGATGTGACAACTGTGGTTGCTGAGTACGGAACTCCTCCCTCAATACTTGCACTTGCTGCACCTGACTCTGCACCATGCGAGAATCTGATGAGATTGGACCCAGAGCTGTCATCATGCGGTCCTTTGCGCTCAACCAGCCATTCAAATTGTCATGAGTATCATGGAAATCTTTCATGTCCTCCATAAATTTGATTCTGCAAACACACACAAATAAATATGAAAAATTCCCGACTATTTCAATGCAATGAGATTCAACGTGTCAAAAAGTTCTGCACGTTCACTAATTCCTAATTAGAAACCTCACAACAAAATGGAGACCAGTAGAATACACACACACCTTCTATGTATTGTTTGCTGCAACAGGACTTTTAACTTACATACTGCAAGTATGCAAGTAGGAAAGGATTGATAAATTTATTGCAATGACATAATTTTAAGGGACTCTTGAATGTATATACACCATAGCTCACCATATATGTGTACTTCAAAAAGACGCAAAAGGCATTTTCCAGATAGTAATGACAACAGCAAGACATACCTATCCTTGCACCGGTCATGGAGGGTCTTCCAACGTGAAACAACATCTGTTAGCTCCTCTTGCAAGTTGTCAGCTCCCAGAGCCACCGGTTTGCGTCGTAACAAGTCATTCACTTGGCTCTTTGTGCTGTCCAAAAGAGACTGTTTCTCATACATATCCTCCACTATGCTCTTCATCTGCTTGGCCATCTTATCAGAGTCCTCCTTGCTGTGTGGCACAGTCTCCTTTGGAATATTCCTTTGAACCTTCTCCAGGAATTGACCAAGACTTCGAAGGTTATCCAAGTGCTTTTTCACCTCTTCACGAATACTGTCAAGCTCTGTCTGGCGATCTGAGAGACGCACTCCCAGTAAACCATAGCGGTTGTTGATTTCTGTCAGCTGCTGTTGTACTGGTGATAATTCTATAAAAGTTATATATGACACAGTCTTAGCAGATGCGCCTCAGCACAATAAAATGTGTGATGAGGATTTAAAATATTGTCACAATATAATAATACAGGATCAGTCAAAGCACACTTTGTATATATCAAAACGTTCTTGTAACAGAATAACAAGGGACCTCAACATTTTGCCATTCTGACAGTCATATGCATATGCACAAAGTGGAAGAAAGCAGACTACATTCTGCATGTGTTTATTGAATGCTGACCTCATTCAGAAGTGAGAAATTCATGTTACAGTCACATAAACATAGCGGGCTGTTATCAAACAGTAAACATTTTCTACCCAGATTTTTTTAAGTAAGCTATTCAAGTAAACTGATATATTTTTTGGATGGTTCTGTTTATTTCCTTCCCATATGTAACAGGAATGATCCTTCTCAAACAAACTCCAGAGAGAACTGTACTGAATAAAATTATACAAACATAAAACAAATATTATAGTATATTATTTCTTACTAATTCTGGCCCTTTCTTTCCATTTCAACCTTACTAAGTTTCCAAATCGAAATTTTGCATTAGGTTTCAGTCTGTATTCCAAGAACAACGGAAATATTGATGAAGGCAGGTTTCCATTGATACTCCTTGGGCAGGTTCTACTGTACCAGAAAATGAACCATGGTATTCAAAATTAACACACTCAAAAAAGGAAAGGAAAGAATAATGCCTTAGTTTAACTGGATTTATCTGTTAAGTAAGAACATACAAATTAATACTACAAGTACTTAGGTAGGCACTGAGAGAGACCAGTTTATGTTACTGCAAATTGTAAGGAACAATTCCAAGAACTTCTTCAATTTAACATTAAAAATGAATGAAACGCGAGTTAAGACAAGCTGGACTGAGAGCTACCTTCCAGATGGAAACCATCCTGAGAGGAACGGCGACTACTGAAGCCACTGGAACCACCTGGTGAAACAGGACTCTGAACAGAGAAACCACCACTACCTGACTTGGTGGGTGAAGGAGATCTGGCTTCGTGAGATGTTCGGCGCACTGTAAACAAAGGTGAAGTAAAAACATGCACTACTTTGTCACTTTTAAATATGAGTTTAAAGAAAAAGGCATAGAAATCGATCTGATTCTGCTATTTTCACAAGCACTGCTATGTTACTGGCTACAGACTGACAGAAAAGGTAATGGTCATTTTCCATAAAACACATGAAAAATTATAAAACAGAGAATCAGTCACAAGATACATGGTATTTATCTAACTGTCCTTGCTCCATATGAGTACACTGTGCCTGTAATCCCACTAACTTCCCTACAGTATCTATTATGAGCATTTTTACAAATTTTATAGCTTCTCATAACATCATGGTTCCACTGTTTGGTCAAGATCCAGCTATGAAAATTAAATATGGAGAATGAATCGGCAGAGATGGTCATGCTCAGTAACATTTAACTCACATGGACTGCTTGTGACAGAAGTTCTCTTTGTGGGGCTGTATGCAGAGCTACTACGCCTGCGTGCTGGGCTTTCTGGTCTTTCTCCCCTCAGAAGTCCATCATAAATGTTACCCAGCTCATTCACTTTGTCAATGGTAGTACCATAATCCCTGTACTCCTTCATCATTGGCTGCAAAAAAAGTTGTGGCAGTGGATGAAACAATTATATGCAGATCAAATCCATGTTCCCTTAAAAGCTAAATGTATCATTTTATTGCCAAGAAAGAACAAAATTTGAAGACATAATGGAGCAAATTCTGAAGCAAGATGCCCAACAAAATATAGGGGTATGACGCATGCGTATTCATGGACTCATGTACTCAAAGTTGCAATTACCTTCAATTGTTCTGTTTGTTTCCTGAGGGTTTCAATTTCAACAGCCACAGGTTCAAGCCGCAACACTTGAGTTTCCATGGTTGCGAGCCATTCTAACACCTGGTCACGTAATTTCTCATAGGCACCTAACTGATGAGCTCGGGCTTTACTTAACTTCTGCTTATCTTCCAGAAGAGAATTCAGATCTTTCCACTGGCCTTCCAGAGCCTGAGCACATTAATAAAAAATCAAAATAATGCAATGATTCACTATACAACAAATCTCTCCCAGACTTATCTGACAGTAATAGATCACACTGATCCTACAACAAATAAAAAGCTAAGTAATAAGAACCTCAACATAATAAAGCAACAAAAATGGGGGAAACAAAGAAGAGAAAGATATAAAAAAGTCAGTGCTAGAAACGTGATCTTTTTGAGACATTCTATATATAAACATACCTTTATTTTATCCCTGACTGGAACTGTATCTGTAACATCCTTCTTCGCAACTAGGTTCTTTCCATTCCGAACCATATCATCAAATTCCCCTTGCTTAGCATCACGTTTAGCAACAATTTCATCTATCTTAACTCCATACTCAGCAATTTCCAGTTTCAAAACATCTCGAGATTCAATAGCATCAAGCAGTTCGCAGTACCACAACTCAAACTGAACGGCAGCATTTGAGAACACAGTGAGTGCAGAATGAACTTCTTCCAGCAGTTCACCACGTTTCACTGTTCTGTCCAGCAGCTTATCAAACCTACAATAAATGTGAAAGTAATCAGGAAGAATTAGAATATGAGTAATGCACAGTGAATTGTATGCACACGCACAGATATATATATATACATTTGCAATTTTTGATAAAAATATTTCACTTCTACGTAATGATCTTTGCAACACTTTCTAACTATTCCCATTTTCAGGGACTAGTGACAATAAGATGAAATTGTCTTACTTGACAAGCAAAGCTCAACCAATTTAGTTCCTAAATGTTCCAAATACTTGAAAGAAGAAGCTGACAAGACTACAAGTTTTTGATTCTCACTAACAAAGTCCGAACAAAATTCCAATTGCCATCTTCTATGACACGCATCCCTAGACTTCTACTCTTGAGTACATCCTACATGCATATTCATTCCACCACACATAACTAAGGTGTAAATGGAAAACTCATACATGGAATGTGCAGACTGAAAACTTTTTAATGTCAAGCTTGACCAGAACAAATGATGTTTGAACATAACATTTCAAGGACCAAGTACCTGGTAGTGACATCTCGCAGCTTTGTTTCAATCTTCTTGGCAAGGCGTGCATTGCTAGCAGTAGCAACCAATTCTTGTGCTGACTGTGCTACACTCTCAACACTTGGGCGATGGCTGTCCACATCTGCCAGCAACAGGCGGTGCTCTCTGATTTGCTCCTCCAATCGCTCCTTCAGAAGACTTGCTGGCCGCATAAGTGACCTGTAAAACATGGTAACCAGTGTGTTCTTGTGTTCTTGTATAACATGCCATTATATTGTGATGTGGATGGCGCAACAGGAAGTAGGGATTACGTGAACTCTGCGGTCTCGCGAGTGATGTCACACCCTCACTCCTTCCATCATTATCAACACTTGGTAAACATCCCCCGTGGTGACGTAACAGCACTTCCCACTGTGACGTAACAAGAGGACACTGATGTAACACGAGGCAACAGGGAACGGTATAAAATGCTGGCTGAGCAGTATGTGAGCAAAGTGTGTGATTAGGAGTCACACAGTGTGGATTGTGAAGTCGCCGAGCGCAGCGGAAGTCAGTTGCAGTCTAGCATTCACCGGAGTGAATGGAAACAGGAGAAGTATTTGTGATACTGCCGATGGCAGGAGTTGGGAAACTGTGAACTGTATAAGTGTAAGAGCGAGTGGAATAAATTCGCTATATCCAAGATGGCGTAAAGTTATTTGTCGCATGACCTACCCAACACGTGACAATATTCTACCTTGTATAATTCTGAAGGTAACAATCTGAATCTATATTCTGGAGGTACCTGGTTCATATCTTGACCAGGTTACCAGATATCATAACACAATTTTTAGATTTTCTTCAACTGCTCCTAGCAAATGACACGACAGTATCTTTAACAAAGCATAACCATCACCTTTCTAATCCTTCCTTCTGTAAGCGATTACTCCTTTGTAGCAATATACTTCGCCCAATTTATAAATATGTATACATTTAATTTCTTTTATATAACTTGTAATTTACATACTTAAAATATGAATTTGAGGGAAATGCTTAAGTCATCACGTGTTATATTATGCTACAGTAGCAGTTGATGCAATGTGGCATGATGTCATATGTAAATTTATAGTCCAGGGCCTCCCCTTTGTGTTTGTAATGCGTGATGTAAGCCCCAAGAACACATAGCCAGGGACTTCACAGAGGTATTACCAATGAATGACCAATGAAAAACGCCTGTTACTGCATGATGTCATGCCTAACTGCAGTAGGGGGGTAAGGCAATTCTTTGTTCCAAGACAAACGATGCTTAGCTCCTAAACAGTAAAGATGTGTAGTCACCTTGTTTCTCAAAGGGGAACAAAGGACTGTATATAGTCCTAAGTTCAAGTGTAATGAAGATGTAATTAACCAAAGTTAAATAAAGTGTATGTGTTGTAAAGTTTGTCACAAGTTTTGTGTGCCCACCTTCGTTGAAGCCAAGGCCCACTTAATGGGCCCTGAGATAGTCTCATGTTCCCAGACTGGGGTGGCACCTAAGGTATCTACAAAGGTGAGGCTACATCGACTACCCTTCAGAGTTGCTAAAAGGTGATTCACTGTGAGCAGCTGCGACCACCTTGACCTTTCACCAGCAAACAGCTGCGGCCTACTTTACCCCACCCGTGGCGATAAAGTGCCTATGGAAGCTTCGCGGCCACACTTCATATTCATCACCTTCCCGCATTATTTGACACCAAGCAACTTCTATGCCAATGCTATCAGCTATTCACTTTATAAACAGTCACAACAAATTTTGAACTTCAGAGAATTATTATTAGTTAACTTCCTGCCTCAATCTGAGTCTCTATATGCTCAGAGAAACTTCCAGAACATGCTCTCAGTGTGATAGTAACATATGCACACCCTAACAAATGCCATAGCCTCTACCGGTTACAAGCAAGTTCACATAAATTCTCTTATAATGGCAAAGTAAATAAAATTTGCCACTGCCTATACAGTTCCAGAAAAAACAACGTATATATGTGTGTGTAACACACTTCTGTCAAAATTGTACAATGGGATATTTTGAGCACAGAGATATGATGCAGTCTGTGTTGCACTGGGATGTAACAAGTGTAATAGTCAAAGGATTACTGCTCATATTATTTAAGCATTTGTTTTTAACCAAATACTAAATACGTGAAGCAGGCATGATCCCAACAAACTAACCTGTGTACATTCAATATCAATGAAAATTAACCCTTTCACTGCTAGTATGTTAAGTAACTCTCAGTACCCACTGTGCTGAATTATTTTTGAATAAATCTTTTATAAATAATTTAAGTGCAAAGTATGAAAATTTGTGATAAAATGTAACTAATCTTACCTGACAGGAAACAGGCAGCAGAAGTTGCAAAAATGATAATTATTCAGTATTTTTCAAATGGGAAAAGTCCATTTAAATCAGGGTTGTCAAAGATGGCCAAAAAAGTACATAATTCACTATCCTAGTCTTGTCACTATGTCACATGTTGACCAAAGTCCACAATTTTATTTAAAACTATGAAGGGCATTCTATATATAATGCCTCCTATTTTTTCGCGTTAATCTGTAACATCTGAGCTGGATGTTGGTGGTGTTGTAGTAAAGGTTGAACCTTCCCACCAATGTACTGTTAGTTTGGTTGTCGTGCGACAGATAGCGACAGCAGAGCAGTCTACCAAAATGGCGTCTGACTAGAAGTGCATATGAAACACAGATGTGTTATTGAATTTCTAACTGCCAAACAAATTGCACCCACTGACATCCATCGACGCTTGCTAATTGTGTAGGGAGATGATACAGTGGATGTCAGCACAGTGAGGTGGTGCGTAGCGCATTTCAGTAGTGACGAAAGTGAAGTGCGAGACAAACCATGCCCTGGGTGTCCCTGCTCATCTGCCACACCTCACAATGAACAGCGCCTCGATCAGCTCATCCATACAGATCGGCGGATAACAATCAAGGAGCTGTGTGCACAGCCTAATATTGGCCGTAATGCATTGGAAATGATGTTGGGGAAGCTGGATTATCGCAAAGTTTGTTCCAGGTGGGTCCCGAGGATGCTTACACAGGGCCACAAAACTCATCGAATGGAAGTGTGTCAGGACCTGTTGCACGAGTTTGAGGCTGAAGGTGACAAGTTTCTGGACACCATCATCACCAGAGAGATGTGGTGTCACCACTACGAGCTGGAATCCAAAAGACAGTCCATGGAGTGGCGACATCCAGATTCTCCAAGAAAAAAGAAGTTCAAGACACAGCCATCAGCAGGGAAAGTGATGTGCATGGTCTTTTGGGATAGGCGGGATGTGATTCTTGGATTTCCTGGAGCCTGGTGAGACTGTCAATTCTGAACACTACGAGACGACGCTGACTAAGCTGAAAGCCAACATTTCCCGAGTCAGGCCAGAGAAGCAGACAACCTTTCGCTTGCAACATGATAATGCTAGACCCCACACCAGTTTGGCGACCACTGCACACATTACAAAGTTTGGCTGGACTGTCCTACCACATCCACCTTATAGCCCCGATTTAGGACCTTCAGACTACTATCTCTTTGGGCCTATGAAAGAATTTTGAATAAGGGTTTAGATTTTGAAAACTAAAAATGAATTGAAAATGGCACAATTTATAAGCCACAAGGCAACTTTCTTTGTCCACTTTACTGTTTTCTGAGGATGAGAATAATAGGCAAAGCACTGATCGACTCTATCAACTTCCCTACTCGGAAATACAAACAGGCTTCTTTACCTGTCCATGTCTCCTTTGAAAATCAACCATGCTCGAATTGTGAATTGTGGAAATCATATTCACGACATCAGTATCCTTCCAGGACTGAAGAAGAATATCCCCCTTCCTCCTGAATGGGGTTTCACCATGTTTCAGGGATTTACATTCCTCTTTCAGATCTGGAGGAAGGCCTCTGTTCACCCTAAATGTTCCACAAACACGTACTTTTCTTGAAAGTAGGTGTTCTGCAGTTGCCACACTGTTATAATAATTGTCTTGATAGACATGGTAATTTTGATCAAGATAGGGTTCCAAAATGGAAAGAATAATTTCTTTGTAATTTCTTTCCTTCACCAGAATAAAATTCTAAATTTCCAATATAGCCTGAAGTGCTTTCAGTGACTACATGAACAAGTAGGCGATACTTTGTTAAGTTTCCCAGGATTATATTTTCGCATATTGCACTACTCACTGACAGCATGCTACGTACAGCTTGACGAAATAAAGGCATTAATTTTCCTTCGCAGGGGCATACAGTTACAGCAAGGTCACGTAACTGATTAGTCAGCAAACATTCCAGAGTCTTATCACGCAGCTGCAGGCAGATACATGCAAGCTGGTTGGCGTCAGAGCGATGTATAGTGTGTTGCAATTTATCGTGTTCTAAAAACGTATTAATACGTGACCAGTCCACCACGTTTAAAAGCAAAAAATGTATTAATGCGTGAGCAGTCGGCAAAGTGTTAACTGCGTTATTATGCTCTCTGTATCTGTCGTAGTTTTCATTAAAAAAAATAGGAGGCATTATATACGGAACGCTCCTCGTATTATAGAAAGCATTGCGCACTACACAAAGCCATTTTTACTAGCCCTATGAAATACCCGTGTCACATGACTGCGGAGCGCGTGCTTCGCTGTGCAGATGCAACCTTTTACATTTCTTAAGCTAGATGGCAGAAGAATGCAGCCATTGAAATGAATTATGCTTCATTATGTTTCCAATAGATGACTCTATGCACCTGCCAAGTTTGAATAAGATTGGTGCATAGAAACCTGAGATTTGAAACTCTAAATTCGCAATATGAGTTTTGTCAATTGCAGCAAGGATGCCATGTTTTTCAGAGATCGATACATGTCGACCGCAGCAGTGTAAGGCTTAAAGTAACTTCTAAGAGAGAAGAAACTTTTCACAAACAAATGTTGAATATGTGGGGTGAATATTTTACACATAAGCTTCTACTTACTTCAGTTGGTTCTCTGTAGCATTCAGCCACTGCATTAGACTATCAAGAGCATCCTGTACACCTTGACTCTGAACAAGAGCTGTATCAAGAGCACGGCACTTATCAGCCAGTGCAGCTGAGAGCTGCTTGTACTTGTCTTCCAGTTCCAGAACAGGGGTCTCCAAAGCAGCTATCTCTCCAGGAGTCTGCTGACCTTCCAGAGACCTCACCAGTGCTACCACACTCTGCATAAAGGATGCATATTAATGATGACAGATGTTTCTGACGTCATGTAAACTCCAGTGCTTCTACTATGTTACTAATGTGAACAAATTCACATCCTCAACAGAGATTATAGAGTTATACACAAACCAAGGCCATGTTTAACATGATGCAGGATTTGAGGTTCTTACAGCAGTGATTATGTAAAGCTCTTTCTTCTGGTATATAACACCATGCAGTCTGTTAAAAGTAAAGCAGTGTTTATGAGGAACATGCTGGCTCCAATGTATGTATGTGGGAGTACACTCACCATTGACAAAAGATAAAGATATACGAAGGGGGACCCAAAAATAAGCGGAAACGACCTGTTGCGCGTGCATGCT